TTGTATGAAAAGTATTTGATCAGAGCCAGTGCCTACCTGCTTTGCTTCTTTCCTTTTCTCCTCCCTCCTTCTTTCTTTTTAAGTAATTTATTTTATAAAATTTGTTTATGACTTATGAAGGGGTCCACAATATACCACTGTGGCATAAGGATCATTTTGAGCTGAAGGCATTTGGAAATCAACAGATGTGGGAAGAGGCTTTCTCTGTACTCTCCGTATATGCCAAAAAGCAGAGACTTCCAAAAAAAGTCAAATGTTATCAATCCCCCTTTAAGGGAGGCTTCCCATACCAGGTGTAAGAGCAACTCCTGTTATTAGAGATGAGAAGTCAGTGCTGGATGCATAAACAGACCTTAGTAAAACAAACCTTATGTTCCATTAGTTGCCACATGTATTTCTCAGTATTTATTGTCTCTTGGAATCCTGAGCCCCTGCTTTTAGTAAGATGCATGTAAACTCCAAATTCTGACCACTTCTTTGAGCCACTTTCTTTGTAAGCACCCATATAGGAAAGTGAATAAACTTGTCTTTTCTCTTGGTGATCAGTCTTGTGTTAGTTTAATTTGAAATCTCCCTAATACTGAACCTAAGAGGTAGAGGAAAAGTTTTTCCTTCTTGATACTAAGAAATGTTCTATTTGGAAGTTGTAAATCAGGGGTAATCCTGCAGTGTGTGCCTTTATTTTCAAACTTTAAAAAGGTCCACATATGCCTGAGAAGGACAGAGCACTGTCTTTTCTGAAGTTTGCCTGAATAGTGATGCCTACATGGTTTACCTATTAGTCCTCTAGGGCCCCTAGACCTGCACTAACTCCGAGGCCATGGCCTTGAAGTGGGGTCGAATCCCACTTGAGAAATCTTCCTACATGGATCTTGGCTCCTGGCCATCCCTCCATCTCTCTGGTCTATGGAGATGCCCCAAATTCTTACCTCATCAGTTTGATTAGGACACCAAAGCCTTTGTTATAGAAGCAAATATCTTATGATAGCAGAGACACTAACATTGGTTTTCCCCTTCTTTCAATTGGTAATAGAAACACTGAATTTGTACTGGGAATAGAATGAAGACTACATTTCCCAAGCTCCCTTGCAGATGTGGCTATATGACTAGTTCTCACCAATGGAAGGTGAATGGAAGTGATGTGCATCACTGCTGGGGTGATGATATTGTTTGGAAGCCGGGAGGTCAACAAAGATTCCCAGCTTTCTCATATAAACACTTTTGCTCGAGATGGGCCCTGTGCAAACTACCAAGAGCTCAAAGTTGCACAGCTCACTTTTAGTGAAATAAGGACATGTTCAGCTCCGTGTATGGGAAGAAGTAGGTACTCAACAAATACATACATATTGAGTGAATGAACAAATAAAGAAATGACTGGACTACATAGAGATCTAAGTGTTCATGCTGAAAGGTGGTCATTCTTCATTATTCAGGGTAGACAACTTATGAGCCAAAGATGGTCTTAGTTCAGCTTTCAGTGCCCCGCCCCGTCCCCCGACTACTGCTGTCACCTGCACCCCTCCATCACCTGTCTGAGATCTCTCTAATCAGTCTTGGTAGCACCCGCCTTACTTTGCATGCCCATCCTACCTCCTCGTAATGTTAGAGCCGCCCATCAAGGAACAGGGTTGAAACCAAGGCATGCTATTTTGTGGAATTTGCCAACCTGCTGTATATTATAGCCAGTTTCTTTCTTTTAAAACTTTATCCCTGGACCCAGGCATGGATTATCAAACAAAGGAACAGAAACTCATTTCTTGTGTAGCAAGAGGTGAGCACAATGTCTTGGGGGGGTGGGTAACAGCCTTTTCCCACACAAGATAAAGTCGGCAGGGCCCATTTCGAGGGCCAGGTACCAAGAAGTGAGGGAGTTTTCAGGTGTTAATTTCCTTATGTCGGCTGTCTGAACTTTGCTCTTGATAGAATCAGGCCTTAGGGTGAAGCAAACCTCCAGCACAGTGGCTGCAGCCATCCAGGGAGGGAGATAGGCCTGATGCTCATTAAAGGAGGCCCTCTGAGCTGCTTGCCTACATCCTTAGCGCTTTGCCCTTGGATTTTTATCTTTTTGTTTGGAAAAAATATCACAAGGACATGGGGCCTAACAGCATTGATTGTCTTGATAGTTTGTTAAGTCCAGGAGATGCTGGCATCTGCAAATACATCTTATTAGGTGTGATCAGGCAAGTAAATTGTCCCTGCCCTCCAGCATGCTGCAATAATTAACTCTAACAACCAAAAGTTAATCACAGCAGGTGCGAAGCTGGGCTCTCTTTGTCTGCAAAACCTCTTTCCCACCATGGCTTCAAGGTGCTAGCTCTGAGACTTGGAACGTGTTCTTTGAAAAAGAGCCTTTCCTTCCAGGAAAACTGTCCCACATATTATTATTTTAATTTAATTAGGTTTTAAAAAGGTTAACCATGACATTTTAATAGCTTAAGCTCACATTAATATTCCGAGAACACTGTTTAGCCCAACCACTTGATTCAAAAGGATGTTTTTCCAGAAAAGGAATTGGCTTTTAGGACAATTACTGAAAAATAGCTTTCATTTGATTAAGATGGGTATCTTGCTATTAAACGACAGTTATTGAAATAAAATACATAAAGACATTGAAAACTGTTAAAGCCTTAGCTTGGCACTATTTATCTAGGAGAAAGGGAGTCTGGGCAGTGTGTTTATGGAGATCATCCCAAAGGTGGCTGATGTCCTTCGGCTATGAGCAAATTAGCCAACTGTGCTTGTGATGTGCTGTGTGTTGTCAACCTAATGTTTTATTTATTTGCCTGAGAGCTGCTATCTTCATTAGGGAGTTTAGGGAGCAAAGCGAGATGATATTTATTAGCTTGGCAAACTAATAAACTCTGCTCATGTTTCTTCTTTTGCTATCATGGCTAATCGCTGGTTTTGAAAAAATAGCCATTCGATATGCGAATGGATCCTGTGAGAACAAGAGTCGACCATCCCTTCCTGTAGAGAGAGACAGCAAGCAAGAGCGCAGTCTTACATGTGTGCATGGCCACCGTGTGCCAAGCACTGCGCTCGCTCTGGGGTTACAGGGATGCCGAGGCCATGGGCCAGCCCTCCAGACGTTCACAGTTAGCAGGGAGCTGGCATTGATTATACAGCTCACTCTCATTATACTGTGGAATAGGCGCTATTCTCTCTCCAAAGAAGCACAGGGGACAAGTAATTAGTTCAGCTTGGTGGGATTGGAGATGGCTGCAAAAAGTAGGGAGGAGCTGGGGCTTGAAGGACTAGAAAGATTTTGCCAGAAGGGAAGTCATGAGGGGCAGACTACTGTTTACCGTAGTGGTTCCTGAAATGCAATCTCCCACCAGCAGCATCGCCATCACCCGGAACTTGTTAGAAATGCACATTCCCAGGCCTCTCACAGGACCTGCTGAGTCAGAGAATGGACAGGAGAGTGTGTATCAGGAGTCTGTGTGTGTGTTTTTTTAAATTTATTTATTTTTGGCTCTGCTGGATCTTCGTTGCTGCACGCGGGCTTTCTCTAGTTGTGGCGAGCGGGGGCTACTCTTCATTGTGGCGCGCGGGCTTCTCATCATGGTGGCTTCTCTTGTTGTGGACCACGGGCTCTAGGTGCGCAGGCTTCAGTAGTTGTGGCACGAGGGCTCAGTAGTTGTGGCTTGCGGGCTCTAGGGCACAGGTTCAGTAGTTGTGGCACACGGGCTTAGTTGCTCCGTGGCATGTGAGATCTTCCAGGACTGGGGCTGGAACCCATGTCCCCTGCATTGTCAGGTGGGGTCTTAACCACTGCGTCACCAGGGAAGCCCAGGAGCCTGTGTTTTAACCAGCTTTCCAGGTGATCCTGATGCTCCTGAAAGTTAAGAACGTGTATGTTCATAGTCCCTCTGGTCCACCATGAGGAGTTGGACTTACCAGAGCTTTGAGTTTGATGGGGGGTGGGGTGGAGAGATGGGGTAATAGGCAATGCAGTTGGAAAAGTTAATTGGGATCAATTATGAAGGAAAGAAGGGGGAGGATATTAATATTTGTATTAGCCATCTTTGTGTGTGTATGTTTTTATAATAATGATGTTTCCGGAGCCAGGTAACAGAACCTAACTTGAACTAGTTTAAACAAAGGAAATTTATTGAAAAGATATCATGCTATCTCATTGCTATACAAGGGAGAATTCAACAACCAGGGGTCAGGAAAGATATATATATATTTTTTTTCTTTCTCTGTTTCATATTATTTCCTTAGGATAGATTCCCAGATGTAAGATTACTGATTCAGAGAGTATGAACAATTTCACGGCTCCAGATAGGTATGGCTAAACAGCTTCTAAATGGTTGTAGCAGTAGAGGAGGCCGCCAGGGTGGAGCATAAACACTAGTTTTACTGCATCTTTATCACTTCAATTCTATAGTTTCTAACTTGATGGAGGAAATGACACACCATTGTTGTTGTCTGCAATTAACTGACTATTAATGAAGTCAACTATTTAAAATTGTGTTTATTTACCAATTGTATTTGTTACTTGAAAGGAGTTTTTGTTCTTATTTTAGCAGGAGAGGATCTCCTCTCCTGTCCAGAGATTCAGGATAAAGATAATCCTAGCAAAATAAAGGGGAAATCATAGTAATTTTGTTTGCTACAGAGGTTGTCAGCTTACCACAGGGCACACCCTCATTACTGTCCTCACCAGTGGCTGAAAGGTCCAAGGGGTCGAGAAACCGTGTCCAAATCCCAGCTCTGCCACTTGCTGGCCTTGTGATTTGCTGTGAGTTTCTGCATTTCTGTGAGACCCAGTTTCCTCATCTGGAAAATAGGACAAGTCTGTCCTACCCACCTACATGGTATTCTGAAGCTCAGAATGAGGTCAGGTCCTAGGAAATGCTTGATAAGCTACCAAGTACTGTAAACATGTAAGATATCACTGTTGTAACACTGGCTTCCCTAAATGAATACTTTCCATGAGGTCATGCTGGATTGGAACTTTGGCTGTTGACTTTTTTTTTTTTTGAGCCAATAAGACTTTATTTATGGATACTGAAATTTAAATTTCATATAATTTTCATGTTGTCATAAACTATTATTCTTTTCACTTGTTCCTCCATTAAAATAATTTTAAAAATCAGATCATGGGTCATACAAAAAGAGTCAGTGAGGCTCTGGCCATGAGTCATAGTCAGGATTAGTCTGCCTCAAGGTCAGTGGTTCTTTGAAAGTTTAATGGAATTCATGCGTGAGCCCGGGTGACTTTAAATGATCAAATCTTGCCAAATTTTCTAATTCTTGAGTAACATGTTCAGTAATGTTAGCTCTTTTAAAAAGGAGGACATTGATTATTTTCGGACATTGAAATGTTACCATAGGCAACTCTGACTGAAAATAATGCATAGAATGAAGCTAAGAGAAGCCGGATATTAGATCAGGAACAGGCGTTTCAAGACAGTCAGTGAGGCTTTGCCTGTTTTAGTTTAACACTTGATTCCGTAATGTTGAGTCAGTATTGTGGCTTCTCATTTATCTGCATAAAGTGTAAGGTGCTGTGACCTTGTTGGTGAGAAGATTACATCTGACAACAGTCTTAGAAAGTGTGTGGAGAACATGGGTGGGGAGGCCACCTGGCTGTTGACTTTTAAATAGAAACATCTCTGGTTCAGTTCTAGACTTTTTCACTTTTCACACCAATGGGACTTAATTCACAGATGCAGATTCAGGAGAGACATGGGTGGTGTTTCAGGTGTTCTTCCTCCTACCAGCAGGTAACAGGCATCATAGCCATGGGGAGGACCTGAAGTTTCATACCTCCTGGACGCATAGGCTCCTTCCTCCCTCCCTCCCTCCCTCCCTCCTTCCTTCCCTGTGCTGAGCGAGGGGAGTAGACAGTGAGTTAGAGCTACCCAGCCCTCACTCTGGGGGCACTTGGGTGTTCATGCAGAAAGGCACACTGCCCTTGACCGCGGTCTTCAGTGGGCTGAACAGTGCTTTACAGTTTATCAGGTTTGTTTGTAGCAATGCACGCATTTGCCACTTCCATCATGAGGAAGGCTGAGAGGCACGATCCTTCGAAGTCGGGGAGGTTAGGTGACTTGATCACGTGGCGGAATAAGCAGCGGGACCCGGCCCTGTGCCGGACCCCTGGGTGCCTCACTGAGTGCCTTTCCCCAGCACCACACTCACCAGCCCTTTTCATGCTCGTGTTTACAGTGGGTTCAGCTTAGTTCTGCTTTGATGAGGGAATGGAAATGATGGGATTCCCCTGCAGAATCATAACTCACCTGAGAACTGGGTTGGCTTTAGTGTGTGAAATGTGGTTCCACACATTCCACACATAATTAAGAAAAGAAAGCCCAACAGCCAGAAATTACAAAGCTAAAGGAGAACGAGGTACCGTCTGGGAAATCCCCACTGACCTAAAAAGCCAGGCAGTGTGTCCACTGGGGTCAGAGTGGCTGCAGAGCAGAGGAGGGACTGAGGGGGGGACGGCTCAGCTCTGCTTTCTGATGGAGAAAAATGTCCCCTCCAGTCAGTGGAATGACGGGAAATGGTTGCGAGGGATAAAGGGAGATAAGTGAGCCAGATAGAAAACCTTGTGGAAAATTGAACAAAACCTGGAGAAGATGAGATGGGCTAAAAAAAAGCAGCTCAGGGAATCTGGGTAAGAGAAGTCGCTGGTGATTCTGAGCTTGTCTTCATGTGGAGGGAGAGGAAAGGTGTCACGTTAGCCGGCAGTCTACACAGCCCGTCAATCAGAGGGGACAGTCAGTCTGAGACTCAGGCCAGGATGGGCAGTTTCACTGCCCCTCCCGAGCCCCTCTGTACCTGGTGTCTGTACAGCAGGTGAGTTATTCACCTGACCGTCCCCTCCACTGGACTGGAGGGCAGAGCTGCAAAGTTCAGCTTTTCCCTCCCGCCTGCGGTGTGGTGGCCCTGAAAGGCCCAGGTTAGCAATAGGCGTCATGGGACTGTGCTAAGCAGGGACTGCCCCATTCCTGCTTAAGATGTCAATGTTTTCAAGCCACTGAGATACTTTTCACACAAAATTAAAGATGCTATTATATACCAAATATTCCCTGACCCACATTAGGTAAGGATCTTAGAATTGGACTTGGGGAATTCTTCTGCAGCATGAATCCACAGGTGAATCAGAGAGGTGGGGCAACTACCCTATAATCCAGGCCAAGGTGTTTTTTTTTTTTTTTTTTTTTTGCGGTACGCGGGCCTCTCAGTGTTGTGGCCTCTCCTGTTGCGGAGCACAGGCTCCGGACGCGCAGACTCAGTGGCCATGGCTCACGGGCCCAGCCGCTCCATGGCATGTGGGATCCTCCCGGACCGGGGCACAAACCCGTGTCCCCTGCATTGGCAGGCGGACTCTCAACCACTGTGCCGCCAGGGAAGCCCCTGGGCCAAGGTGATTTCTAAACAATCCAGATTTCTGGGAAATTGCTTCATTCTCTGCCTTAATCTGGAGGTAGAATGCTTTGACTGTTGGCTCTTCAGTCTTATGTGGGCTGCATCATCCTGCCTTCCAGTGGGCAGAAATAGCCAGCTCTCTGGCTTCACCTTCTGACACCTGAAATAGGAGAAGAAAAGAAGGAACCTCCTTTCTGTACCTGGTTCTCTACTCCCCTCTTCGGCCTTCCCTCTTCCCCAGCCCTATCCATCCTCTCAGGCTAGAACGCTAAGACTTTAGAGACCTGTAACCCAGATTGTCGGCTGTCTGGGTGTGTCCTATTTCTTCAGTGTTTTGGGGCCACACTTCTAGTTGGCAGCCCAGTAGAATGATTTGAGCCTCCCTCTCCTTCCTGGGAAGCCCGGTGTTCCCCCATATCTCCAGGAATTGTAGATAGCCCTCTGTTTCTTCTCTAGCTCCAAGTTCCTGCTTCCGGTGAATTTTTTCTTGATCTCTTCTCCTTGTCTTTCCTCCTGTACACACTGTCCCTTATGCACATCATGTCCCCCACTTGGGCACGGTCCCCTTTCCTTCAGTTCACCAGGGCAACCATGCACACAGGGCCATGACTTTATTGAAGGACCGTGTGTACTGAAGCTGGTTACGTTGCCATATCACTTAGATGATTTTCACAAAATCAAAAGGAAAACTTGGATGTTAGATACGCTGTTGTTGGAATGTCCTCATTTTCACTGGCTCTGTTCACCACTGTGGTCTTCTTTGGTCTTGCATGTTCTTTCTCCTTCCTGACATCTCCCTTTTCCCTGTCCCCATTCGCTCTACCTTACCCTTGCAGATCACCTTTGGAAACAGACTCCCAGGAAAAAGAAGGGGAGAGACGCTGAGCTGAGCCAGCCCCAATTATTCTCCTGAAATTTACCAATCATGGGATACATTTGGGAAGAGAAACTCCCAGGAGGAGGGATGAAAACCAGGGTGGGGAGAGGCCAGGATAAATTCTCATCTTGGAAATGATCCTAAGCGTGTTGGAATTTGTTAGTTTCTCCTTCTCTCTTCTCAGCCTAGCCTGACTAGCTTTCATATCTAAATGTAAAACGGTGGCCAAAAACAGTCTGTGGTTGGTTCTCAATGCTTCACTGCTCAGATAGCTTCAGCGTGTACTTTTTCTGCTGTTTAACTGCCACCGTACTTCTTTAGATGTGATGTACCACATACCAACCAGAAGACATCTTGAACCTTTACTGTTTTTTTAAATTATTTTTTATTTTTTCCTGTTTTTTAAATTTATTTTTTCTTCCAGTTTTATTGAGATATAATGGATATACAGCACTGTATAAGTTTAAGGTGTACAGAATAATGATTTGCCTTATATCATAAAATGATTATCACAATAAGTTTAGTGAATATTCATCATCCCATATAGATATAAAATTAAGGAAATGGAAAAAAAAGTCCTTGTGATGAGAACTCTTAGGATTTACTCTCTTGATAACTTTCATATGTAACATTCAGCAGTGTTAATTATATTTGCCATGTTGTATATTACATCCCTAGTACTTATTTATTTGAACTTTTACTGTTGACTTTTGTTTTCCTCTTATTTCATGAGGCTGTCTTGTAAGATCAACATTTATTGAGTGGTGAAATATATAAATATAATTAAGACATGCTTCCTGCCCTCAAGGAACTCATGATCTAGTAGAAAATAAGTATAAAGTATGCTATAACCTTTAACATGCTTCTGAAAATATTATCCCACAACACCTGTGAAGGAGGGAAGGCAGATGATGATCTGACATGGAGAATGACAGAATATAAACTTGGAGATATTAAATCCAGACTCGCACAGCTAATAAGTGATAGACCAGAACCAGAACCCGGGATTTGATTCCTGATCTAATCCCCTTCCCACTTCCTACACCCACACTGGGTACATCATTCCCACTCTAATCACATTCCCAGAAAGAGGAAGTATTCTGAAAATGATTGGATTGGTTCTAGGAATGGAGGAAACCCATCAGCTCTTGGGAAAAAGAATATGTTGTGTTTGGCAATAACTTTCCTCTTTATCTTTTCTCTTAAAAGGCAGTGTTCAAATCTCTGTCAGCCCCATAAATTGTATCAGGATGATTTTCAGGAGGATTGTTCTCCAAAAGATGTTTAGGTTAGGTTTCTTTCAGGTTAGCTAGACGTGAATTCTTATTTTGTGAAGGTTGTTATCTTATTCTTGGGTAGATTTTTAAGCAAATATTATCAACACTTGTGAGAGCTGAATAACTTTTGACACCCCTAAAGCTCAGTAAATGTTTACTGAAATCACATTGTGCAAATTATATGATAAAATCTATTTAGACACAATTCACTATTTTTAAAAGCTTATGTTGACTTTTCCTGGTAGGAGAAATCCAATGAGGAAGATGTGACACATGACTATACAAAGCCTTCAAGTGGTGTAATCCTAGAAACTATTGGCAGCAGAACAGACCCTGAATTGCTTTTCAGCCCTTCCCAAATCGGGTTTCCATAGCACAACTTCATTTTCTTTATTCAAGGCTTTGTACACGCCAGAACAGCCATCAGCCATATGGAAGTGTGTGTGTCTGTACTTCTGTATCCAGAGCCACAAAGCAAAGAAATGGAGAGAAACTTTACATTATTGAGCTGCTGATCAAACAGTTCCTGAAAACTGCCCTACTTCTGGTCTTGCTTCCTTATTGTTGGGTCAGATTGATTTGAGGCTTTCGATTATTTGCACAAAACCCAAAACAGAAC